GCTACTCTTCACTATAAAATAATAGATGACTGAACGATAACATGACGATTATCTTTTTAGATTAGGAAATTGAAAGTCACAAACAAATTTATCTTAAGCACAAGCAGTTCATAAAATGAACACAGACAAATCATCAGTCAGATTTTTCTTAAAGAATAACATAACCTTCTTTCAAATGAAAGCATAGCTTTGGTTTGGTTCTGTTTAGGAAGGGGTAAGGGTTACTGAAAAGTATCTCCCAAAGTTACAGAGAAACCATTTTTTGTCTTTAGTTACTATTTCTTGTAATAGTTAATTCATTAAGAAATTTCATATCAATGGAAACGAATATATTTTTACTATACCCAAAACTATCTACATCAATAATTTCAACAAGTAATATTCTTGCTAATAGTTGTATGACTTTGTATTTATTATTGATCATTATTTTTGTTCAAAAATAGTAAAATCTACCCATAGTGAACATTATCACATAGTTCTATGTTGAATCTTTTAGAAAGTTCCAATAGTTTCCATGCTATAGAGATTTTCCTATATTTTAACCATATTTAAATTTTCAAGAACAAACATGCATGAAAAGACAAGTAAGATCGAGCAATAGTTTATTTTTTTTATTCACTAACACCCTTCAAATACCTAGAGAACGTGTCTGTTCGTTGTAAAAAAAAAACTTCTTTTAGAAAAGACTTATTCTCCTTATAGTGAACATTTTTGAAAAGTCCGAAGAATGTCCACTGTAGAGAGGTTATACTGTATGTACATTTTGACATGGGTGTGGGTGTGAATGTTCTTCTTCTTTCCATTCATACTACCCCACTATTGGGGTAGGAGAACAAAATGAGCCCATGTAAAATTTTATTACTTCATCTAAAAAATAACCGTGCACTGCCTATGATATCTTATAAAAGTGCTGTAAGCATCATATCCGAAAAAGTACACTCTGTCAGTATGTTATGGAAACTATTTGAACTTTATGTATTTTAAGACAAAATATACGTCGCATACCTAATAAGCTACTGGATCGAAACATGTTCAGTAAAAGGATTGCTAACCAGATATTGAACTGGATTTCACATATAATATTCTCCAGTATCGATTAAATGAAATTTAGATATGTTGATGATCAAACTATACTTTTAATGTTTGTCGTATCTTCTGTCTTTTTAATATATTTCTCTTCTAAATATGACATGATGTAGTTTCTCTTTGAGAGAAAATAACTGGTTTTCTTTAAAAAATTGCAAACAGAACTTCGCTCTTACAAGGACAATCTCTTTCACTGAACTATTAACAATGTTAATTATCCACAGTGCGAAGCTTCCCGAGAGAAATGCAGAACGCAAGAATAATTTAGAAGAGGGAAATCATGCTGCTCTTTCCTGCTAATCGTATGAATTGAATGGAAGAGCATCGTAAAGAAGAATATATCCTTCCTTGATTTACTGTCACGAATTTTTCTTCAATACTAGTTTGACCTTCACAATATGCATCACGACAACAAGCATAATATATTCTACTATCTTTTACTAATAATAAAAACAAAACTGAAGAACTCTCATTTTTTAAACTGTTTCTAATATAGAAAACAAAAAAAAACATTTAAACACATATCACCTACCAGTTAGTTATTTTTTTATTTTATTCTCTCTATTCTGAATGTGTGTCTGCTTGAAAGTTGTAATGTATGATCAAACTTCACGTGTTGTCAAATGTCGTCATACATAATATTTTATTGTTGTAATTCCATTAAATTCCAAACAAAGTAAATGTCAACGTTGTTCTCATAAAAAACATATTTACAAATATGTTTGTACATGATTCGAAAATATAAAATTAAGTAAACGAATAAATTTGAATCAATATTTTAATAAATAAAATTTGACAAATAATCCTTTTTTTTTATCTCAATGGCATTATCGATTATGATGAAATTAACATTTCGAACTCTGATTTATTTTCATATATATTACAATACAAATGAAACAGCTCTTGGTAGTCTCTGCTTTATGTGGTTTTTTTTTTCTTTTCACCTTTTTACAAACATAAGGAAAGAAAATTGAAATTATTCTGCTGAAGATTTTTTTTTTGTTTTTATTCAAATACAGACAACATCATAAAAACAAATTAAATAAACAATAAACATATACATTTGTTAAACTAAAACCGTAAAAAAATACATTTATACAATTAAATTCCACCATATTTACCTTTAATACGTTATTCTGTGTTATGTGCCATTTTTTTTACTAGACAACAGTGATGGTTTCTCTCATTATTTTTATCGTGTTATAGGCTTATGGCAAACAGTGGCGTCGTATGATAGTAGTTTTCGCCGCATTCTTAGACGCCTGAGTTGCTACAATTAACCTGAAAAATAATATTTTTAATGAATATGTATATTTGTCTTAAAATTTAGGCGATGAAACTAGAACGAGTTCTGATTTATACGTTGAAAGAAATATAATTACTTGTAGTAGTCAAATCAAACGTTGACAATGATGAAAAGTCTTCTTTTTTACTGTTTTCAAGTTACAGTTCATTTAAGTAGGATGAATTATTTACTAATGGAAGTAATAGAAAAAAGGCAAACAGATCATTGAAATATATTTTCCATATTTTCAATTTAGTGACACTATATTTTTTTTGAGTGCACAACTTAAATCTATTTTTATGCATGCTAACACATAAGTGTTCTATAAAATATTCCGGCGACAAAACAAAGGTTAATACTACATTTTGTACTTATTCTTTCGTCTGTGAATAATTCTATACGAAAAGACCTAAAAGTACTTGTTAGAGTACACAAAAAGTATATATATATATATACTCATAACATTTCCCAATATCTAACACGAGTATTTT